AAACTCGCAAATCAGATCAGTATACCTCAGGTTATAAATGTAGAAATGCTGATGCTACATGATCCTTCTCCTTTTTGATAATAGATAAGAACATCAATGACCTGCAAAGACAATATATATATACTAATATAACCAAAATAAAAAACAACAGAGAAGTAGAACAAGCATACCTTCTCCTATCAGAAGGCCTGAAAAACCATATAAGAAGGGAGATATAAAGGAGACAGAGAGAAGCACGAATACTCATTACAAAACCAAAGAGAGTAATACTAACCAAATACGTGAATCATAAGTCCAACATTGGCTTGCATCAATCGTATACTCTTATGTATAGCAGACATGTTATTCTATGTGGTCGGGAATACGCTTACGAGATTCAATGAAGACACAAATCGAATCAAAACACAATAAACTCAACTTGTAAGACACAAGACATCAACAACAAGAAGAGATAGAGCTGTACCGTGAAGGGAAAAGAGGAAGAAGACGAACCAGAAGAAGACGAACCAAAAGCAGAGGTTAGATCGCCACCACGTCTCAAGCCTCGATCGCCACCACGTCTCAAGCCACAGCACCCTATGATCGCCACCATGTCTCAAGCCACAGCACCCTATGATCGCCACCATGTCTCAAGCCTCAGCATTCTATGATCGCCATGTTTGCATATCTTGATCATCAAACCGAATCTCAGAACAACAAATCAACCAGAGGAAATCTATAAAGGTCGAAGCTTTACACCAACGATGAATCAGAGAATCGAAAGCGAAGAGGGATCTTGGATCTTGCATCGGTTGTGTTCTTGGTTGCCCTGATTGTGCCAACATGCAAGTTTGTTCCGGCAATTGCGGCGATGACAACATATCTGTGGTAAGTGATAAGCATTCTAGACCTCTCACGTTTAAACACTGTCCTTGTGCGACTTTTCCTGATCCTGATGATGACTATTTTCACGTCTCTCAAGAAAATTTCTGTGCACGGTACAGTCTCGCTGCACCTGAAGTCAACTCCGTATTCTGACTTCGATGTCCCAATGAAATTACTATACACCACTTTGCTCACTTCCACTGCCGAAGAACGAAGAAGCGTTGAGTTGAGAGAAAGAGTATATATTAATATTTATAAGCAAAATTCATTAAGAGGTTTAAAAGAAAAGGAAATTAATAATTATCTCAATCATAACGGTTATATTAATATGAGTTTAAGGAAATCAATACCGAGATTTTGTTTTTGTTAATTTTCTTATATCCAAAATTTGTTAATATGACAGTTACTATCGATAGACTTAGTTTAGTATCTTCTTAGATAGTATATGTGTGATACGATACCAAAGTTCTGCGAAACAAAGATTTTATAAGCAGGTCACAGTATCAAAGTTCCTCACTAGTTAGAAACAAAAATCACAGATAAACAAATTTTGGATGATTGGAAACAGCAGAATCATTCCTATAACATTCACAATCTTAACACCAACATTGTCTTCAACTCATCAAAGCATCGCTAAGCTCCAGACAGGCCAAGAAGGAAAAGGAGAAAAACAGATGGACTAGCACGCATTCATTACTCCAATTTCTCGAGTTCTGACATCCTTTCGATGATCGCCTGCAAGTAAAAAATTGTTCCCAGCATTTAAAAGTTAGCGGTTGTGCAAAGGAGTGTGTTAGTGAAAGAGGAAAGCTTGAAATCAAAAATCCATACCCTTTTGCTTGTTTCTTGAAGCTCCCCAGCAAGAATGAATTCATCGAGTATCAGATACACCTTTTAATTGAAATCACAGGGAATTAGTTAGCAAGTATTAGAGTACAAAAACAGATCAAACCTAGACACACAGAAGCATCCATATAGTTAGACACAAATGGGGAATGCTTTTGAGAATGCTGCAGATATATATTTATCTAACAGGTCATGATGGTCAGCTTAGAATTGGGACAAATACAAAGAGAAAAGAATGAAACTAGCTTTTAATTTTAGCAAACACATGATAATAGAGAACAACATCAAAGACCTGCAAAGACTATATATATATACTAATAACCAAAATCAAAAACAAGAGAACAAACAACAGAGAAGTAACCACGAACAAACATACCTCCTCCAATCAAAAGGTCTGAAACTTCCTTGTCTGCAGATCCAAAATCGTATATGCATATATACACACACCAATGAGATTCAGTTCTGTATGTTGCAAACAGGTAATATCAATTCTTTATGTGGTCGAGAAGCAACATGAGCTATCAAATAAAACAGATGCCAAACTCGCAACTCAGGTTATAAATGTAGTAATGCTGATGATACATGATCCTTCTCCTTTTTGATAATTGTGAGGAAGTCCTCTTGATCAAATCTTCATGATAATAGATAAGAACATCAATGACCTGCAAAGACAATCTATATATACTAATATAACCAAAATAAAAAAACAAGAGAACAACAACAACAGAGAAGTAGAACAAGCATACCTTCTCCTATCAAAAGGCCTGAAAAACCATATAAGAATGGGAGATATAAAGGAGACAGAGAGAACCACGAATACTCATTACAAAACCAAAGAGAGTAATACTTAACCAAATACGTGAATCTTAAGACCAATGATTGATGAACTAAATAGCATCACAAATTGGCTTCCATCAATCGTATACTCTTATGAGATTCAGTTCTGTATGTAGCAAACATGTTATTCTATGTGGTCGGGAATACGCTTACGAAATTCAATGAAGACACAAATCGAATCAAAACAATTCTGTAATTCCAAAAGGCAAAAGATTAAAGTTCTCAACTTGTAAGACACAAGACATCAACAACAAGACCATATGCAGACAGAGGAACAAGAAGAGATAGAGCTGTACCGTGAAGGGAAAAGAGGAAGCAAGAGCACCACCATGAAGACGAAGCAGAGGTAGATAGATCCCAAGACGAACCAGAAGAAGAGGAACCAAAAGCAGAGGAACCAAAACCAGAAGAAGAAGATCGCCACCACGTCTCAAGCCTCAGCATTTTATGATCGCCCTGTTTGCATATCTCGATCATCAAACCGAATCTCACAACAACAAATCAACCAGAGGAAATCTATAAAGGTAGAGAAGCTTTACACCAACGATGAATCAGAGAATCGAAGGCGATGAGGGTTATGCTTTCTTGTTCGACAAGAGAACGAACTAAGGACATTGATTTGTAGGGTTTAGAAGAAAAAGAAGAAGAAGAAGAAGAAGAAGAAGAAGAAGAAGAAGCGTTGAGTTTAAGCGTTGAGAGAAACAGAGAATTTTGATGTCTCGATCAAAAGGAAGAGCGGAGAAGAAGCGTTGAGTCGAGGAAAGTGTAAATTTTTAATATTTATAAGCAAAATTCATTAAGAGGTTTAAAAAGAAAAGGAAATTGATAATATCTCAATCATAACGGTTATATTAATTTGAGTTTAAGGAAATCAATATCGTGATTTTGTTTTTGTTAATTTTCTTCCTCACAACCGTAACTAGGCCTGGGCAAAATATCCGAACCCGAATACCCGAACCGAATCCGACCTGTAATACCCGAACCCGTTTTACTTCGGTTTTTAAGAAATACCCGATCGGTTTTTATTCTCAATACCCAATAGGTATCAGGTATTTACCCGAACCGAACCCGCATACCCGTGGGTACTTTTAAGTACTTGAACACATGTATGTAGTAATAGGTTTCCTTACCTGTAAAGAAGTTCATTGATGAGTTTAAGTTACTGAGGCAACTTCATCTCTGTCATTGTTTTTAAAAATTGTTTAAAATTGTTTTTAGTTTTTAAAAGGTTTGGTTTTATGTAACAGGTCATGATGTATGTATAATCTTGGTTAAATGTTGCCATCTTGGGATGATTCTTCTTTCTTAGTTTCTTCCATTTATCAACTCAAATATTTTCATGTTCACTTTCATTAATTTAAGACTTTAAGTTATGCTTTTGTTAGTTTGGTTTCTTATTTTGTCAGTGACTTGTTTGATTTTAATCTCTGGAATGTTCAAAACTTGGTTAAATTTGTTTACTAGTAATATGTTCTTTCAAAAATTTGTTAGTTTTGACAAATAGTTTCGGACTTATGGGTACTTTGGGTAATTTCGGGTCGGATTTTGGTATGTACTACTCATACCCAAATATATTTTGGGTAATTTTTGGATCTCTTAAATCATTACCCAAAGTACTTGTACCCGAAAAGGAACCGAACCGAACCCGATCCAAAGTTTTATAAATACCTATTAGGTTCCTAAATTACTAACCCCGAAATACCCGAACCCGAAAAACCCGACCCGAATACCCAAATGCCCATGCCTAACCGTAACAACTTAATTTCAATGTGTAAAAATATTTTTGAATCTTGTTAATTTTAAAAGAGAATTTAGCGAAAATCAAAGATATATGTTTAACCCGTTAGTTATATACTATTAACAAATTGAAAAATCCTACAACTATTTTATTCACCTATTCTTGAGGAGTTATTTTACTAATTGTTTTTATGAAAAAAAATGTAAATTATCAAACCTAGTTTTATATAATAAGTTTCTCCATTACACTAGGCATGACCACGGTTACGATTATCACGGTTACGATTTATTAATCATCGATTACGGTTATAAATTTTTTTAAACCATAATCTTAATTTTTTTATATAAGGTTAAAACTGTTACGGTTATATACGATTACGGTTAAATACGGTTGCAATTATTTGATGATTATGATATAGATAATATTATAAACAAAATTTTATATTTTCTTACCATATCAAATAATGTTTATTTACAATATGAAAATAAAGGTATTTATATGATTCAAATATTTATAGTAAATTAGTTAAAAATGATTTTTGTTTAATCAAACACAATTACAATTAAATAAATTAATGGTTATGAACCTAAAAATATTGAAAATATTTTTTTTTATTTGAATAATGAAAATGAGTAGTAGAGTGGATTAGAATTACTAGTTGATACATTAAACCATTTAAAACATTATTTTAATGAAATAATACGATAAATAGTAACCTCACTAGTTGAAACAAAAATCAAAGATAAACAAATTTTGGATGATTGAGAACAGCAGAATCATTCCTATAACATTCACAATCTTAACACCAACATTGTCTTCAACTCATCAAAGCATCGCTAAGCTCCAGACAAGCCAAGAAAGAAAAAGAGAAAAACAGATGGACTAGCGCGCATTAACCATCATTACTCCAACTTCTCGAGTTCTGACATCCTTTCGATGATCGCCTGCATGTATAAATTTGTTGCCAGCATATAAAAGTTTAGCGGTTGAGCAAAGGAATGTGTGAGAGAAAGAGGAAAGCTTAAAACAAAAATCCATACCCTTTTGCTTGTTTCTTGGAGCTCCCCAGCAAGAATGAATTCATCGAGTATCAGATACACCTTTTAATTGAAATCACAGAGAATTAGTAGCAAATATTAGAGTACAAAAACAGATCAAATCTAGACACACAGAAGCATCCACATAGTTAAACACAAATGGGGAATGCTTTTGAGAATGCTGCAGATATTTATTTATCTAACGGGTCATGATGGTCAGCTTAGAATTGGGATGTATACAATGAGACGAGAACGAAGATAGCTTTTGATTTTAGCAAACACAAGCTTTCATTTTGTCGACCCTTAGAAGCTTCATGGATGCAAATCTTCATTTTTCCCTTATAAACATTTAGTTCAAAGCTTCTAAGCAGAGAAATGACGAAGCAACATCGGTTTATTCGAAATAAGTATACAACATCCCCGGTTTATTCGAAATAAGGGTTAAAGGATCCAAAAGAAGCAGTTTGAGAAAATAGATATAAAAAGAGTAAGAGCAACAAAAGGAGTAAGCTAACGTAAAATATCCATCGAAAATACACCTCCTTACTTGAAACTCTAAAAAATATGTCGTTTACTTCAATAAATACTACAATTTTTGTTCAGCCTCCATAACTCGATAGAGAGAAAAACGATTAACTTATAGCTTCTAACATGTTTACAAAATTTTATTTGAATACTAATCTTTGTGCTTCATGTTATTCATCGTCATATAATTTTTCTTTCCTCTTGGTGTAGTGCTTATTTAGAAAGCAATATAAAAAAAATTCCTACAGCTTTGTTAACTAACCTTACTTCACCTTTTAAATCAGTATTATTCTTTAATTTTATTTTATTTTATTTTCAATTTTGGTAAATTTGGAATAACTTTTTCTTCTTCTAATTATTACAATTGCTAATTATTGAAGATGATCTTATAAAAGACGTTAAGTTGGACTTGGAAAATATGGAAATATCCTGTAAACTTAAAATATCAAGTATATAACTTGGAAAACATCAACAACTACCATTGAATAACGTAAATCAGTATAGACCATAAAGAGAGTTTGATGCTAGTTCTGGTTTGTTTTCAACGTATATAAATTTAACAACATGATTTAGTAAATTTACTAAAAATGATAATTTTACTTAAATTATAAAAAACCTTAAAACCTAAGCGTTAAATCTTTTACGATACGTGATAACATGTTGAACTTATACACCACTGACGGACCACAAAGGGATTGGATGCTCGGCCCAGTTTGTTTTCAACGTATTAAAATTTAACACTTAGATTCTACCAAAAAATTAAAACTATTTTTACTTGAAATTTGATTTAAAGAACCTTGATATTTAGTTGTAAATCAGAAAAATAGAAATTAATACATAAAATCTTTTTTTCTTTATGTATCTTTTTATATCGAAATCATTTTTTCTTAATTTTTTTTTTTTTTTAATTAGAAAAGTTGAGATATACCTGTAATATTAAGTATCTGAAGGTTGAGGCGACTCAGTCCGTGGTCGTTTCTGAAGTTTGCTACACGTAAATAGAAAACAAACCCATTCAGTTCTGTAAGTTGCAGACAGGTAATAATAAGTATATATGTGGTCGAGAAGCAACATGAGCTCAGTAGTTATAAAATAAAACAATGCCAATGGAAACTCGCATATCAAATCAGTAATATACCTCAGGTTATAAATGTAGTAATGCTGATGGGTTTGATAATTGTGGGGAAGTCCTCTTGATCCAAATCTTCATGATAATAGAGAACAACATCAATGACCTGCAAAGACACTAATAACCAAAATCAAAAGCAAGAGAACAACAACAACAGAGAAGTAGAAACTAGTAGCTCACCTATGAGATTCAGTTCTTTAAGTTGCAGACAGGTAATAATAAGTTTATATGTGATCGAGAAGCAACATGAGCTCAGTAGTAATAAAATAAAACAATGCCAATGGAAACTCGCAAATCAAAACAGTATACCTCAGGTTATGAATGTAGTAATGCTGATGCTACATGATCCTTCTTCTTTTTGATAATTGTGAGGAAGTCCTCTTGATCAAATCTTCATGAACTATAGAGAACATCAATGACCTGCAAAGAAGAGAACAACAACAGAGAACAACATCAAAGACCTGCAAAGACAAAATCAAAAACAAGAGAACAAACAACAGAGAAGTAACCAAGAACAAACATACCTCCTCCAATCAAAAGGTCTGAAACTTCCTTGTCTGCAGATCCAAAATCGTATATGCATATATACACACACCAATGAGATTCAGTTCTGTATGTTGCAAACAGGTAATATCAATTCTTTATGTGGTCGAGAAGCAACATGAGCTATCAAATAAAACAGATGCCAAACTCGCAAATCAGATCAGTATACCTCAGGTTATAAATGTAGTAATGCTGATGGTACATGATCCTTCTCCTTTTTGATAATTGTGAGGAAGTCCTCTTGATCAAATCTTCATGATAATAGATAAGAACATCAATGACAAAGACAATGTATATATACTAATAACCAAAATCAAAAACAAGAGAACAACAACAACAGAGAAGTAGAAACTAATAGCTCACCAAGAACAAGCATACCTCCTCCTATCAAAAGGCCTGAAAAACCATATAAGAATCTTAAGACCAACATTGGCTTCCATCAATACGCTTATGATATATATAAAGGAGACAGAGAGAAGCAAATACGTGAATCTTAAGACCAACATTGGCTTCCATCAATACGCTTATGATATATATAAAGGAGACAGAGAGAAGCAAATACGTGAATCTTAAGACCAACATTGGCTTCCATCAATACGCTTATGAGATTGTAATTCCAAACAAACTGTATCAATCATATACTCTTATGAGACTGTATTTCCAAACAAACTGGACGCAAATCAAATCAAATCAATTGTAATTCCAAAAGGCCAACATGATTGATGAACTAAATAGTATCACAAATTGGCTTGCATCAATCGTATACTCTTATGAGATTCAGTTCTGTATGTAGCAGACATAAAAGTTCTCAACTTCTAAGACACAAGACATAAAAACCAGACCATATGCAGACAGAGGAACAAGAAGAGATAGAGCGGTACCTTGAAGGGAAAAGAGGAAGCAAGAGCACCACCATGAGGACGAAGCAGAGGTTAGATAGATCCAAAAACGAACCAGAAGAAGAGAGATCAAAAGCCTCGATCATCACCACCACGTCTCAAGCCTCAGCACCCTATGATCATCAAACTAAATTGTATAAATAATAAATAATAAGAGATTCCTGTTTTTGTATTTTACAATATTGAGTAACACAACATGGTGGAAGCAAGAGCACCACGTCTCATGAGGACGAAGCAGAGGTAGATAGATCCCAAAAGCCTCGATCATCACAACCACGTCTCAAGCCTCAGCATTCTATGATCGCCACCACGTCTCAAGCCTCAGCACCCTATGATCGCCGTGTTGCATATCTCGATCATCAACGAGAGGAAAGCTATAAAGTTTGAAGCTTTTTCACCGAAGATGAATCAGAGAATCGAAGGAGAAGAGGGAACGAACTTAAGAGATTGATTTGTAGGGTTTAGAAAGAAGAAGAAGAAAGAACGGAGAAGAAGAAGTGAGAAACAGAGAATTTTGATTTCTCGATCTCGGTTTGAGTTGAGAGAATTAAAGAGTTAATTTTTAATATTTATAAGCGAAATTAATTAAGAGGTTAATTAAAAGAAAAGGAAATTGACAACGGTTATATTAATAGGAGTGTAAGGAAATCAATACCGAGATTTTGTTTCTGTTAAATTTTCTTCATCATAACGGTAACAATTTAATTTCAATATGTAAAACGTTTTGAACCTTTTTAATTTTAAAAGAGAATTTGGCAAAAAATATATTTTTTTAAACCGTTAGTTATGTTATTAACTAATTGAACTATTTTATTGACCTATTCTTGAGGAGCTATTTTACTAATTGTAAATTATCAGACCAAGTTTTATATAATAAGTTTCTCCATTACATTAGGCATGACAACGGCTACGGTTTGTTGACCATCAATTACGGTTATAAATTTTCTTTAACCATAACTTTAACCTTTATATATACGGTTAAAACGGTTACGGTTATATACGGTTATAGTTAAATCCGGTTACGGTTAAATACGTTTACGGTTATTTGATGATTATAATATAGATAATCATATATATAAAAGTAAGGTTTCACTCTCTACTTATTGGTGGAAAAATATTTAAGGCTTAATTTTTTTTTTTTAAATAAATAAAGAAATGTTTATGACAATCATTCAATAAAAAATTTAATTACACTATAAGTTATAATCAAATGGCAAAGAAGATAAAAGAACTTAATCATATATCATTCAACAAAATAAATAAATGTTTATGATAATCATTCAATAGAAAATTTAATTACAGTATAAGTTATAATCAAATGGCAAAGAAAATAAAAGGACTTAATCATATATCATTCAACAAAATAAATAAATAAATAAATGTTTATGACAATCATTCAATACAAAATTTAAGTACACTATAAGTTATAATCAAATGGCAAAGAAAATGAAAGTACTTAATCATATATCATACAACAAATTTTATAAGGCTTATTGGTGGAAAATTATTTAAAATCATATATATAAAAGTAAGGTTTCACTCTCTTTATTGTTCCATTTTGTATTTATTTTTAAAATATAATATTTATTTTTAATTAAACCAAAAAAACATATTTAATCATATACATTAATCCATACTTTAGATTCACACTTTACTACTAAAATTAAACTGAAAATTATATAAATTTCCAAAGACTATTGGTTTTCTTTATTGAATTCCAATTAAACACACTATAAATTATAATTATAACTCCTCTAATTAAATTATTTTAAAAATTTAACTTACATCACTTCTTATCATATAAATAGTCATTCTCACATCCTTCTCTACCATATCTCATATCTTCATTATTCTCTTTGTTTTTTTTTTAAAAGTTCTTGCATGGGGTGAAAACTCATTTAAAATATCATTGTAAGAGTTTGATTAATTATTTAGTTTAAACTTTTGTTTTCAATTTTATTTATTTTTTGTTTTTATGTATTTCTTTATGTCTTCATTTTTTTATATTTTTAAATGTAATACATATGTATAATAATATTTTATGCTTTTTTTTTTCGTCAAACAAATAATTATATTTGATAATTGTGAAAATCATAATACAAATGTTCTGAAAGCCATGGAGGCGGGTTCAAAAAATCAGAATAAAAAGGAACCATATTACAACCATAAGAAGCAAGCACATGAGCCACTTTGTTACAATGTCTATTACAAAATTCAAAAGAAATATTGGAGAACTTAGTAGCCCACACAATAATATTTTATGCTTATAAGAAAATCAAACTAAAGAAACCATCTTCATTATTTTACATTGGATGTTTGTTTCTTTCTCACATATTCATGTATATTTATTTTAATTTCAAAAGTATGTAATTTTTTAACAAAATAAACTTTTTGTTATATAATTATCAAACCAATTTGTAAGACATTCTTTTAAGAATAATGATCCTTATATTTAGTTTGTGATTCAACATGTAATAATATAAACAACATAATAATTTTTGTTAACTTTGAATTTTATACTTGATTTCCTATATAAAAAAAAATTTCATATTCAATTTTCTATCTATTATATATACTACGACGATGAAAAATATAATTAAACCTAGAGATATAGCTTAAATTAAGAGGAATATAAAAACAAATTAAAAATAAAATTATTCTTTGGGAATTTTTTAAGGTTTCTCC